GGCCCACAGAGGTTTCTTATTTGTTTTTAACTTTGGTGTCAACATTTAAAAATAAGAAGGTCATTTGTCAAAACACAGCCTGCCTTAAAAAATGAATGGGCTGGGGTCTCGAGCCCAAATTCTGCCCACCAGCTCCTGTGGGAGCTGGACCCCAGCCCCTGGTGCAAGATGCTGCTCCTTCACTGAAGCCACCTGCCTAGCCCCTGGGAGTGGCCTGAGGGGCTCTTGCACATACGGGGCTGTGTTGTCATCAACACCTCCAAGGAGGGGGGTCACTGGAGCCTAAGCCATCAGCAGGATGAACCCCTGCCACACTTGCATCCTTTAACAGAGAGCCGGACAGCTTTGATCAGTCAGAGAAAAGGACCACGACATGCAGGAAGACCTCAGGGCCTTTGCACGGGCCACTTCCTCTGCCAGAAAAGCTCTTCACCCATCTTCTGACTCCAGTGAGGCCCTCAGAGACTCCCCCTTGACCACACTGCTAAATTAAGTCTTTGTCTCCCTTCGTGGCTCTCCCTCCACCTTGCTTATCTTCAGGGCACTTATCACATTTTGTGTCCATCTATCATCTGTCTCCCTTGATAGAGTGTGAGCTGCCTTAGGTTCTAGGACAGTGGGTCTCCCCTGGGGGTGATTCTGCCCCCAGGGGACCCTGGGCGATGTCTGGGGACATTTGTGGTTGCCATGACCAGGGTGGGCTCTTGGCACTGAGTGGGTGGGGCCAGGGAGGCTGCTCCACACCCCAGGGCATCCAGGACGACCCCCCAGAGGATGACCCAGCCCCACGTCAGCAGTGCTGGGGGGACCCTGGGGTAGGGCAATGGACTTCAAACGTGTCCCCAGACCAGCATCCCCTGGGAGCTTGGTAGAAATGCAAAATCTGGGAATTCCCTGGCGGTCCGGTGGTTAGGACGCCAGCTTTCACTGCTATGGACCCAGGTCCGATCCTTGGTCGAGGAACTAAGATCCCACAAGCCGTGTGGCGCAGCCAAAAGAAAAAGAAAAGAGAAAGAAATGAAAACTCTCTGGCCCTGCCCCAGCCAACACTAGCTCAGCAGGAGGCCCAGCCAGTCCCTCAAAGGAGAGGGCATGTGAACCGTGGCGGCCTTTTCCTTTGCTTTAAACGCAGCACCTCAGCTGTGCCTCCCAGGCGCTGAGTCGGGGGGCTCTAAACGGCCCACCTGCCCATCCCGGCTCTCTCCTGCCAGGCTGGGCACACAGCAATCACTCGGGCCCTCGGCGAGAACACTGCAGTCTGCCAGGTCAGCTTTTCTTGCCCCAGGAGCTGCAGAGGTCTGGAGGGTGTCAGGATCAGGGAGGGACGGGGTCTCCCTCCTGCAGCCCGGTCTGGCCTCAGCCAACTGACAGCCAGGAGAGTTCTAGGGTCTTCCCAGAACCACCCCAAGCCCTGCAGCAGCCCCCTTCTGCCCTCAGGAGTCCCAGCCCAGTCCCAGCTTCTAGGAGGCTCTCAAAAGGTCAGGTGGGTCGGTCACTGACTCTGTACCAAAGCTGACAGACAGCTCAGGGTGGACACGGGCTGGGACAGCTGTGCTGCATGACCCTCTCTTCCTGGCAAGGCTGAGGGTCCAGAGCTGGTGGTCAGGGCAGGCCTGGAGACGCCGTGTGCAGGGACACAGCATCCCGTCCGATGCCTATGTTTCAGGGCCCAGAAGATGTAGACTGGCTGGGAACCGGCGCTCCCCTCCCCGGCTCCACACTAATAACTTCACCAGAAACGCAAACAGCAGACAACAGAAGCCACGACACACTGTTACTACGCTTGATTCAATCCGGGAGTCCTGGGTGCCGCCTCCTAACTTTCTACTCTTTTGTCTCCAGATCGAGGAGGGGGACCCGGCTGACTGCATCCAGCTGGCGCTGGCACTGGGAGTCCCGACTCCACTCGGCTCGGGGGCGGCAGGGCCGGTGAGGGTGACGCTGTACCAAGGACCAGAGCTGAGTCCTGGCTCAACCCTCCTGCTTGCTGAGCCCCTGCATTGGGCGCCCATAATCGTGCTGCCAGGAGCCTGCCTGGTCGCAGCCAAGCGGCTAGGGGTGGCCTTGACCCAACCAGGCACCTCCGGATAAAGGTGGTGCCTGGTGTTTTGTGCTGGGAGTTGTGTTTCTTTAAACAGAAAGGCGTTTCTGCTACTTGGGAACGCTCGTGTCCAAGTGAAGGTGGCTGTGCCTGGTTGACACCAAGCAATACACGGGTCACTAGAAGGCGTGTGCCCTCTCTCCTCCATGAGACACGCACACAGATCTCAAAGTGACACGTCCTCGATGGCGCAAAGTCGCACAGAGATGAAGGCTTTCGCGGCCGACGTCCAGTTCCATGTCAGGGCTGGTCCAGGGCTCCACGTGTTGGGTGACCAACCCACAGGCTTCTTCCGCCAAAGCTGTCACCACGCGGCACCTGTCATGTCAGAGCGGGTGTGGGGGAGATGGAGCCACTGAGCTGGCCTAGACGAGAAGACCCTGGTCTAGGCTGGACATGGCCACCATGAGCTCGGGGACCTCAGGAGTGAGGTCGGCCTCTCCGGGGCCCCCATCAGATGGGACGACCATTTTTCTTCTTACCTCAGCTTTCAACTTTGATCCTTGGCCAAAGCAGGGAAAGCTGACCAGAACTGACCGAGTGACACCATCATCCCTATGGCCCCAGGAGGCAGACCCCAGGGCTGACCCTGGCCCCTCCAACCACAGCAGACAGGAGGGGTGGCGTTGGGGGTGCTGGCGGGGCAGGCTGTGTCCTCTCCTACGACACACAGCTCCCCCCAAACTCCTTGGGGTCCCACCATCCCTGGGGGACCTGGAAGCAGTTTTGCTGGGTCTGGCAGGACCACAGAGAGAGGCCAGAGCCTGGCAGACAGAGGCTGGGCAGGCTGGGGATCCGAGGATGCCGGGGACCGGGGTGGCGGTGTCTGAGGGACGGGTGGGGCGCCCCCGGGGTTTCCCCCCTCACTGGTGTGGCAGCGCCCTTCGTGGTCTGGAAGCTGGCTTAGAGTGAGGGGGGATGATATGACCCTGAAGCCTCCAGTGCAGGGAAGGGAAGGGGAAATGCAACTGATGGGTGGAGAGGCTTGTGGTGTCCCCAGGCATCCCAGGAAGCTGATGGCTGGCGGGAGGGCGGGGACCCTGCTGTGCGTGAGTTTTAGGTAACGGAGGGGAAGGAGTATGGAGGGGGGGAAGCCTGGAGCAGGGTGTTCTGCACCCACGGTGGGGCTTCCTACTGGATTCAGGGGGACGGGGCCCCTTCCCAGCCCTGTCCCCTGGGCCACACCCTTCTGAAGGCAGGCTCTGGAATCTGGCAACCCCATGGCATCCCGCCCACCCGGGGCAAAGGTGGAGTGAAGTAGGGGCAGGGGTCGCCAGCAAGGGTGGGTTTAGGACAAGGTGGAGTTGATGGTCCCACACCCACAGGGCTCACTTTCCCAGCATGGGGACAGGGTCAGGCCATGCAGGGTTCAGACGTGGGTCCTGGCAAAAGCCAGACAGAACTTCCTGGAAACGGGCCCAATGCTTCCAGCAGCGGTGGGGTGGGCGCCCAACAGAGTGGAAGTGGGGGGCCTTGGACACACTGCCCTGCCCCCTGAGACCCGTATCGACACCGAATGAGGTTGGGGCCGTGGTGGAGGTTGTGTGCTCTCCTGCCCACGGAGCCGGGCAAGTGGCAGCAGGCCAGCGCCTGGGACGCCCCTTGGGACAAGCAAGTAGCTGCTCCTGGAACCCCACCGGGCTGGAGTGACGGGCTGGAGGCCCCGCCGCGCCCAGGGCCACGGGGCAGAGGGGCCCGTCCTCGCCGGGAAGCTTTGACAGCCCCACTGCCACAGCCAGTCTCCCCAGCGTGGGTCTGGGCAGCAACCGCGAATGAGAGGAAGGAAATCAGAGGTTCTAGGAGGGAGCCTGGGCCCCATGGCCGAGTGGACAAGTGAGAAGACAGGAAGGGTGTAAGTAATGGGATGGGCTGCGGAAGTCGAGGCCACGCCTCCAGTCTTGGGGGGCAGACACAGTCAAGTCCCCCCGAAGGGCCCTCAGCCCTGGCTCAGCCCGGGAGCAGGAGACGGTTGCCATGACTACACTAACAGAGCTTGTTGCCACGGAGGGGAGGGTTCGCGCCAGCCCCACGGGGCTGTTAGGCTCCTGCGCTCCGCTCCCCGAGGAGGGTCCTAGCTTCGTGTCTGGCGGGGGGAGCTGAGTCACATGGCCCCTGACCCTGGCCTGCTGGAGTCGCCTTGCTCTGGAGACCCTGTGGCCAAGCTGCCGCAGGCCTGCCCACACTCTCTGCAGCCCTGGGGCTCTGTTGCCTCGGGGAGCCAAGCAGCTCAGCCTGGCCTGGAACCCCAGCCCCTGGAGAGCAAGCTCTCCGGGCAGGGCAGCCGCACCAGAAAGCAGGGAAGAAGAGGGTGCTCCGAGATCCCTGGAACCTCCGCCTCCCCAGAAGCACAGCCTCAGGTGGCAGGAATCACAGCCCCATCACCCCCACGAACCGCGAACGAACCCAGAGGCTCCTGGCCGGTGGACTCCTTTCAGAAACCCCTCAGGGCATCACGTGACAGCGACTGGACCCCTCTGCTCACCCTGGGGACACGCCCACCACATGCTGCAGGGCTCCAGGGGAGGTGTGGGGGGTGGCTACGGCGTTGGCACTGTAGCCAGGGCTGCGGAGGACAGAGGCTGGCCTCTCCCGCACTTGTCCACAGCCGGTGGTGTTTAGGGGTGGGGAGGGTCTGCGTCTGACCCCCACCTGGACGCCCGGGGCCACCTCCCCTGCGAGTCACCAGACCCGCACGCCCACGGATGACATGGCCACACAGCTTTGGTGAATGCTTTTAAGAGAAGAATTTGTAAAAGTAGTAGCGGTGCCCCAAGGCGCGGGGTGTAGGAGCTGGGGCTCCGTGCAGTCCCGGGCAGCCCCTCTGTGCGCAGGCACAGCCCCTCGGGGGAGGCGAGGCTCCGGCTGGGTGGGGGCGGGGCGGGCACCCGGCGCCGGATGGTCAGCCCCTGAGGAGCACCATGCCTGCCGGCGCGGCGTAGCCCAGCACCAGGACGAGGACCCTGAGCAGCCGGTCGCTCCTCTCCCCCAGCTCCCTGGCCAGGATCTCAAAGAAAGTGACGAAGAGGAACGTGCCGCCCGCCAGGCCCTGAAGCAGCACAGAGGCCACGCTGCTGGGCACGCCCTGGGCACGCTCGATGCCCAGGCCAAGGCTGATGCCCAGGGGGATCATGGCGCTCACGGTGACAGCCAGCTTGGCAGCGTCCCTCAGGGCCATGGCGCTCCTGGCCATGCTGATGCCCAGGGCCACGGCCACCAGCGTCTCGTGGATGGCCACCCCCACGAACAGGCTCACCACCTTCTCCCCCTCCTCCTGCAGGCCCAGGGCCAGGCCCTCGAAGACCGAGTGGGCCGACAAGGCAAACGCCAGGCTGAGGAGACGCAATGGGCTGGAGCGCGACAGCTCCTGGACACTCAGTCCATGGCTATGCGTGTGGGGCTCCCCGTAGAGCGCATGGCCCCGCGAGCCACCCATGAAGGGGCTCTCGTACTCTGAGTCGCTGCCCACGTCTGAGCTGGCGTTGAACGTCTCCAGGTCGATAAAGGCCGGTCTCTCCTTGCGGAAGGTCAGGACAAGCTGCTCCAGGAAGACGGTCATGAAGAAGCCCAGCAGCATGATGGTCTCGGCCAGTGGGTAGTCGGTGCTGATGTGCCCAAGACTCAGGACTTTCTGGAGCTGGAGCAGAGGGCGCGAGAGGGGGGAGAAACGGGCAGAGGTTCAAAGGCGCGACCGCCGAGACCCCCGCTGCCCACGCAACAAGTTCTTCAGACGTCACCTTTCAAGGAGCAGAAATACCCAAATCGTAGAGGTCTTAAAGAGGGGTGGTGGCTCATCCTTGATGGATTTAAAAATGAAGGGACTTCCCTGGTGGTCCAGTGGGTAAGACTGCACTCCCAATGCAGGGGGCCTGGGTTCAATCCCTGGTCAGGGAACTAGATCCTACATGCATGCCACAACTAAGAGTTCGCATGCCACAACTAAGAGTTCACATGCCACAACTAAGGAGCCCGTGTGCTACAATTAAGGAGCCCACATGCTGCAACTAAGACCCAGTGCAACCAAATAAATGAATATTAAAAAAAAAAAAGGAAGGTGAAATTAAGACATACCCAAATAAACCAAAAGTGAGAGAATTTGTTGCTAGCAGACTTTCTTTACAAGAAATACTAAAGGTTGTTCTTCAAGCTGAAATGAAAGGCCACCAGACAGTATGTGAATCCCCATGAAGAAATCAAGAGCATAAGTAAAAGTTAACATACAAAGAAATATAAAATATGGTATAAATGTATTTATGTTGTAACACTTCTCTTATCCTATCTAATGGAAAAAGACAGCTGTGTAAAATAATAATTATTAAAAGTCTGTTCATATGTTCATAATGTGTAAAATTATAATTTGTATGACAATAATAGTACAAAGGAGTGGGGGAGGGAATGAAGCTATATCGGAGCAAAGTTTTGAATACTATTGAAACTCAGTATTAACATCAACTAGATTGTTATAAATTATGATGTTAGTTGTAATCTCGGAGCAACTAGTAAGAAAAAACTCAAAAATTATAGTAAAAGAAACAACAAAGGCATTAAAATGGTACACTACAAAATATGAATTAAACACAAAACGGCAGTAATGGAGAAACGGAGGGACAAAAAAGACAAACAACATATATAAAGCAAATAAAATTAAAGATGTAAAACATATCATTAGTAATTACATTTTATATAAATGGATTAAATACTCCCAATAAAAGTGCAGAGATTAGAAGATAAAAAAAATCATTATCCTGGGTTTCCCTGGTGGCGCAGTTGTTGAGAGTCCGCCTGCCGATGCAGGGGACACGGGTTCGTGCCCCGGTCCGGGAAGATCCCACATGCCGCAGAGCGGCTGGGCCCGTGAGCCACGGCCGCTGAGCCTGCGCGTCCGGAGCCTGTGCTCCGCAACGGGAGAGGCCACAACAGTGAGAGGCTCGCGTACCGCAAAAATAAATAAATAAAAAAATAAAATAAAGCACTGAACAAACAAGGAATAGAAGGGATTTTCCCCAATGTGATAAAGGACATCTATGAAAAACCCACAGCTAACATCCTGTTCTATGCCAAAAGGCTTTACCCCTAAGATCAGCAATAAGACAGGTATATCCACTCTCATCATGTCCACTCAACGCTGTATAAAAGTTGTAGCTAGGGCTATTAGTGAAGAAAAAGAAATAAGATCCATACAAATTGGAATGGTAGAAGTAAAACAATTTCTATTCACAAATGATGTGATATTCTACGTAGAAAATCCTAAGGAATCCTCAAACACATGATTACTAACAAATGAGTTCAGCAACTTTGTAGGATACCAGATCAATATGCAAAAATCATTTGTATTTCTATACACTAGCAATGAACAATACAAAAATAAATTTAAGAATACAGTTCCGGGCTTCTCTGGTGGCGCAGTGGTTGACAATCTGCCTACCAATGCAGGGGACACGGGTTCGAGCCCTGGTCCGGGAAGATCCCACATGCCGTGGAGCAACTAAGCCCGTGCGCCACAACTACTGAGCCTGCGCCCTAGAGCCCACAAGCCACAACTACTGAGCCCGCGT